AAAGAGAGAGGGAGAGAGAGAGAAGAACCCTCTGTGTCAAACGAGTCGACAATGAGAATAAAACTTATCGAACGTGCACGCGCCGCTGTCGGAGAGAAAGTTTCGAAGAAACCGAATGCAATTGGATAAGTTTAACAGATTTTTGGAAGAGTTTACGCGCGGTTGGAAAAAATTATTTCCCGACATTTCTACCGAGAAAGGAAACCTTCGAAGAGGGAAAGATGCTTGGTGCATTAATGACATATATGATTAATTTAATTACCAGCGATATAGTAACGATGATCAGGGTGTCCAGCAGACTCAATGAAAAAAATTCCCTGACTTTTTAGTATTATTTTTTCCAAATATATAATTTGCAACATATGATAAATCGATTAAATGTTAAATCATGAAATCCTTGAGATATTTTTGTCAACGATGAAAAAGTTCGGAAATTAAAACAAAAATTTAAATTAATTTTACAATCTGCATTATGTACGATAATCGAAACAAACATGTCACTATAAACTATTTAAATAATCGCCTTTTTTATTTATATTATATCAAATTTATTAATTTTGTTTCTATCAAACACATTGAAATAAAATAACACGACGATGAAAATATAAATGAACAAACACGCTGTAGATGAATCGATTTTTAACAAGACAGAAAATTAGCGTGCTGGGAGTCAAGGAAAAGTTTATATATATATTTAAAAAATTTCAAATTATTGAGACAAATGTATAGAATAATGTGAAAAAATCCAGATAAATAGTAAAATTTCCCGACTTTTCCCGGAGAATGCCTGCATGGTTTTCCAGATTTCCCTGACCGTTAGAAACCCTGGATGACGTTCTCTTCCAAAAGTTCAAACCGCATCGCTGTTATTGTCGACGTAAGCGAAACCGATATGTCTTAATAGAAAACGATCCGCAGTACCTCTGTTATTGTTCTTCGCGTAATAAACGCGAACTGTGATGTGACTGTGGCACGCGCGTGCGTCTCTCTCTATAGAAAAGCGCAACGGGGTCTGGTCGGTGGAGTGCAGTTATGAATGCAGGAAAGGGCGCGAAGGTCGGGGGTTGCACGTGGCGGGACCGCCGTTCGTATGTATTTTGACAGCACGTCGACACGATGTTTCCGCCTTCGGCACGGAAGCGCCGACTTCGGAAGAGATTTATCGCGGAGACACGTGAGCAAGGGAGGACGATAATTGTCCTCGACTTGGTCAGGGCTACGTTTGAATCTCTCTCTATCTTCTCCCTTAATACCGTCTATGGCTCTCTCGCTAGGAATTACTCCGAAAAACAAGATTTCGTTCGATTATATTCCAAAATGCCGCACCGGTATAATTCATTGATTTTCGTTCCTTAAAATGTTTTCAAAATCCCCATTTTCTTAATAAGATGTCAAATTAATATCGAGTACGATGAATCTTAAATATATAAAAAATTAATTAATATGTATACAAAAAAAATTATATAATATAAAATATACTAATTATGCGCTACGGTGACATCTGCAAGATGCACTTATATCGAGCAGTTCTCGCAAAACGATACGGGTGACTAATAACGGTAAGGATACTTTGCGTAGTTGTATCTGTTTCACGCAAAAGTGTATATATTCTATTAGTATATTAGAATTCTGGTGGCGACTAAATTTAGAAAAAAAATGATGTCACCCTCCGCCAACCATATGTGACTTTCCAAAAATACGTAATGCTAATAGTAATTGATGGTCACGTTAGTGCGCCGCTTCCTAATTCGTCCATGAAATATATCGAGTGTCCTGCGTGGAAACGGCGATCCACTAACAGCTGTTACGCGAAGGGCGCCGCGACGTTGACTTACAATTCACATCTGGTTTACCGAAGACGACGGTAGTCGCGAGGTATTAGAGGAGCATTAGAAGTTACTCGACATTCTTTCACGCACTTTGCGCATTTTCCCCCGTCAAGGCGAGACTGACAGCGAATAGTTAACAACAGCTCGAAATGGTACTAAATTACCGGGACATCGGGAGGAGAGGCGAGATTATGGTGAGATTCAGTTGCATATCAAAATAATTTATCTTAAAGACAGAAAAGTTGCGATATTAAATCATTCTTGATATTGTATAAAACTATATTAAATTGATTCTTTTGTATATGATCTTGTATAAACAATACGTATTAGCAAATTAATTGTTAATATTCCGCATATAATATGTGTATAAGATTTATATTTATTCTTGTCAAATCGAAATAATTTTTATATTATTTGGTAATGAATAAAATGAGTTTACGTAGCGAAGAAAATTAAAATGTCGAATGCGTCTCCCGCATAGACCGATGAAAAGGTAAGGAAAAAATATTTATAAATACATATATATATATATATGTATATATATATGCTGACCCCTATATAAGTGTTCGCGTACCCATAAACATATATGCGCACGTGTACGTTGACGTGCTTGTATATTAACGCATTCAAATGGATGTGTATCTGCCTATTCGTATATGTATGTATTCAGGAGTAGATATTATACATCCCCATGAGAAGATGCGGGCGAGTGACAACCATATGCATCGCATTGAATCCATAATATCGCAATATGTGAATGTCGACAAGGCGGTCCTCGATGTAAAAAGAGAGATTGAAAGCCGACCAGCAACGTCAACAACTTCCATCTCTTTCTCCTTTTTTAGGGATAGGTATGTAAAGCTTGTTCGTAACAGAGTGAGGTAGAATCATTTTATATCCGCTTAATCGCAAAGATTATTAAATGTTTGCTAATCAAATTAATTACAAAATTATTTCAAAGATTTATGTACCTTGAATAAGACTGATGATGTCAAATATTATGTTTATAATATAATGCGGTATTTTGAATCATAATACACACATATTGAATATACCAAGTTTTGTTAATTTATTACAAAATATGTAATATATTAAGAAAATATATGAAATGTACATATATTTTACATTACATATATGGTTTTCGTGTTTCATTTCAATTTTATCTCATATCTCGGATTGACTCTTTGATGTACTAAACAATAATCTGAGTAAGATCTGTGATAAGATGTAAGTTCTGAACGGGTATATTATATATTCCCGTGGGTCAAAGAGCAACGTGTTAGACCCTTGTGTGAAACCCACCTTATAAATATATGTACATGATGAGCCCGATCATGAGTATATCAGCGTCGTTGGTCGATTTCGGTTAGCATAAAAGGTGATTTTTAATAACTCATTTGTGTGTGACCTCAAAAGCAATGTGTTGTGTTTATCATTGTATTTTGAGTTACCGATGACTTGACAATTGCGTTTTGTATATTCTAATTGATATCCATTCAATCCTCTAAAACTGAATATATTTTCTAACTTCTATTGTACTAGTATATGTCTACGTGTTTTGCAACATCTTTTATAAACACTTGAAGTATCAAATCTTAAATCTTCAAATCATACCTTACATACTTACATATAAAGCTATGTTATTTATATATTTTTTACATTAACAATAAGATCAAAATTTCTCAATTAGCATTGCAAATCATGCGTATCTTTTCCTTATATCATTATAGTTATTTCATGAACGCATAAACTTCTACTCACCTTATATGTACGAAATAAAAAAAAAACAAAGTGTTTAATCAAAGAGAAGATGATTTCTTGTATCAATAATAAGTCGAAACTAAATATTTTTCAAATATTGTTCATGCAAAGTTTTATTTTCAAGAGAATTGATTCTAAGAATCGGAAAATTAATAATATATTTTTGCTTCTTCATATCAGTTTGAATAAAATTATTAATAATTTTTATTATTAATGTATTTTTATATTTATATATTTATGTTATTATAATATATCGTAAGAAAGATAAATTCTACATACGACATTACAAATAATTTAAGCGTAAATATATGCATATTATATTAATCCAAGTAATTTTCAAAGTCAAATTTGTGAAAACGAAAACGAAATCTTATACGACAAAATTTTACTCTACATTTTCGACTTATTTTGCATAAGGAATCAGCTCTTTTCCGGTTGTGTTAGTTCCCGACCCACTTTATATAGAACACTATTCGTATTACGTTAAAAAAAAAACAGCCAAATTAGCTTTGCTAATTCCAATGTAAATGCAACATAATTTCGCCCGGTGGTTTCGCGCCTAACAAAGTATTACGGCGAAGAAGGAATGGCTGCGCGCATATGAATTGGGTAATAAAGGATCGCGCAGACAGACGGACGCGCGTTAAGAAAGTTACATATGTCGCGTAAAAATCAATTTATCGGCGTCAGATCTCGGGCATTGTTCTCGGTTCGTGAAGGGGCAAAAAGAAAACGACGTGGAAGTGTAAACGTACCGTGAAAAAATTCAAATGCATATGTCAGACTAGATGTACTTGTAGTACATGTATGTACGTATGTATGTATGCAAAGATGCTGAAATAAGCACGCGCGTAAAAGATGCGCTCGATTGACACTCCGGACACTCGCGCGACAGGAGGAAAATAGTACTCGGCGCGGATAAGAATAAGTATACTAACGTATTTTCCACAATTAGTACCTATACCGATAAGCAGACATTCTCACATGTCCGCTTATGTGCTGTCGAATGAACCTTTGCACGCACCTACGCACGCGTACCTAGATCCACGACCGTACACGCGTACATGTTAAGTTGTATCGAAGCTCGGACGGTTTACAAGTATAATGAGACTTGCCCGCCGCATAATATTACATTGCTGCTTGCTCGGGATATAGATTAACTGTTTACATGGACAGCGCGGAATGGAGAAGCCGGCCGATTGCCAGATATCGGGGATATTGCATTATACTATACGTATTATATATTGCATAAATATATAAAGAGAGAGGTAAAACATACGCCAAGTATATGAAAAAAATATCTGAATTTGTAAGTGATCAATAAAAATTTTAAGGAATCAAAAATTAAGATAGATACTTGTATATACATACTTGGCATTGTTTTTGCTATAAAAGTTTGTCTTGACTCACCGATCGATGCACAGCAGCAGAATCGATGATATTGATGCCTGTAACATACAAATATAAAATTCGAATTATAGTAATGTTCAAGATAATTAAAAATAAAATAGATAAAACGTACTACATAGAGATTTAAAAATGATAATTATAAAATAAAAATTGTAATCAGAGACATGTCATGTTCTATTTTAAATGCAGACGACAAACAATATTGAAATCCAATCTTAACATTATGAACTAAGACTAGTTCTTTAAACGTATATGTAACAAGGAAAAAAATGTAAGGCTTGAACAGCTAGGAGATGTTCTCCTTTAACCAGATCTCTGAATCCACAACCTGCTCAAAACGTCATGTGACTTTAGTGCAAGAAGAACGCAACTTTATGTTCTTCTGCATTAAAATCGTATCACTTTGCAACAATTTGTCTGTTCATATCATTACCCACAAACATCAACAATTTGTGAAATCGATTATTTTTCTCTTTTTTTCGCATTAAAATCGAACGATTAACTGCATCTCGAATTTGACAGAAATTGAAATTAACATTTGTCATTTCTTACACATCGCATCTTTAGGTATATACTTTCTACATGTTTCTAGTATTTAAAAAATGTATTGTACACATATTGGTTTTTCTATATTTAATGCAATAAAATAAACTGATATTTAATAGAATAATTATATACAATAATTTCAAAAAAATTATATTTTAAATTGCAAACTTTTATAAAATATCGTAGATGTACAAAATTTTTTTTTCTTTATTTCTTAAAGTTTTTAGATTTATTTATAATTTAATTTGAATCATTAAGAGATTATGTGTGCAATTTTATGATCAATAAATAACTATTTTTGTATGTAAATTATACCTATAATGTGTGATTTCTTTGTCTGATTAATTAATAAAAGTGCTGCATATAAATGAATGTAAAGCTGAACATTTCTACAAATAATCGATGCACTTTTTGGATGTACATACATATGATCTAAATTCAATATACGATAAAATGTACAACGTTCGTTCAGAGAAAACGTCGTTTGTATGCCCTTGTGCATTCGTGCTATTCGCACCGATATCTGTGCGAGATTCATAAAGCGCACATTGCGTAAAGGCACTTCAAAGCATTTCAGTCTCGTAAAAAGCATCGATAGACCTTATCGTTTCAATCATCGATAACACCCACGATAAAAAGATGCCGCGCTTCACCGGACCATTGAGAGCTCATATGGATAACATGAAAGAAAGCTTGAGTTAAGTGGATTGATCGCGATGAATGTGTTATGGTTTATGCGATAGATATATTCCCTAGACACACGTATAAAGACAGCACTTTGCGCAAATTTATTTGAATTTTAATTTAGGGGATTCGAGAGACAAATATTTTCCAAATAAATTGGTACAATCATGCATATCATTATTCCGTATAATATTACAATAATCGACATAACGAAACGTCAAAATGCACAGAAGTCTCACATGCGCAATTTTATTTGAATTTTAATTTAGAGGATTCGAGAGACAAATATTTTCGAAATAAATTGGTACAATCACGCATATCATTATTCCGTATAATATTACAATAATCGACATAACGAAACGTCAAAATGCACAGAAGTCTCACATGCGCAATTTTATTTGAATTTGAATTTAGGGGATTCGAGAGACAAATATTTTCGAAATAAATTGGTACAATCACGCATATCATTATTCCGTATAATATTACAATAATCGACATAACGAAACGTCAAAATGCGCAGAAGTCTCACATTGACACAGACGTGCCGGGAATATTCCTTACTTTTCGCCAAATTATTCATGCAAATTATCGCAAGTACGGCCATTTTGATGTCGCCGGAGGAGTCTTACGGATCCTCTTAATTGAGATCCCGCTCACGTACCGGCCGCGACAAATTTAGCATCATATCGCGCGTAGAATGCCGGAATCCCAGCGGGATCTCCTCGAGGAGGCGCGAGAAGACGCGCGTCCGAATCTCGATGGGTTTTAATAAAATGCCGTGGCGAATGTCGCTGCACAATAACCGTAAAGGCACCTTGCACACGGAGTTTGAACACCAAAGAGGGTGGCTCACCCTCTGCGTACACGTGCCCCAGCTACCCCACGCGTGCCATTTCTATTTCTATACTGACGGGTACGGTGGCTGACAGAGAGAGAGAGAAAGAGGCGGCGGGGGCAGCTTTAAGCAGAAGGGGTGGTTCGAAAAGGGTGCTCTCCCTTCTGTCCCCCTCCTCCCTCCGCTCGCACGATCCTATGCAGAGAGAGCGAGAGATTGCTCTATACATATAACGGACCTTCGCACGTGGACATTCTCAGCTTACCGAGACAAATCCGCGATCCTGCATGCATAAAGTATTAAGCTGTTGGAAATTTATGAAAATGCACGTATAATTTTTTTCCCAGTCGACTTCCGACACCCTTTTTCGCACTAGTTGCTTAATCTCGCTTTATAAATGTTCCATGAAAAATCCGCTAAACTAAACGTTTAATTTGCCGCGAGAAAGCGCGCATTACTTTGATTTATTACGAATATATTATTAATATAAGTTGTATTAATTATATTGCTACAGTAATAAAAAGTATGTAAATATATATCTTCTCATTTTTTATTTTTAAATAAATTTGACTTTTGTACTTTAAAATCATATGTTCATCTATACTTAAATTAAATTATTTTTTATATGCGTGACAATTATAGACGATAAAAATAACAATAATAGCTATAAAATAATATGTATAAAAATATAGTTATTGGCATATCTTCTAAATATGCGAGCGAACGAGTTGATATATCAAACCATGATCTCGTGGACAAAACGCTCGTGAAAAATGAGCATTATGCGATAAGTTTATTTGGAATACCTTATCGCGGCTGTAAGCGAGACGCCCCCAAACATATTTCATCCATCCGCTCACTCTCGGCCCCTTTATACCTACCCCAATATTGAAACAGGAGTCGGATCTTAGCGTGGGCCCCGGGGGACAAGCGTGGACGCGTTTATATTCGCACTCTCTCGGGCACCCTTCCTATACTTTAAAACGAGTTTCGGAAAAGGGTACCGGTATCACTTGGAAGCCCTCTTATCAAAATAATGGTTACATCTTCATAAATATTTGACCGTTCGTTTTATTGGAGGCCCACGACTGTCGGCAGATCAGTATGGAAATGAGCGAGCAGACGAGGGGATTCATGAGATTTCAAATCTACTCCGCGCGAATTAAAATTTAAAGACACGAATTGGTCTTAAAATCGAGGACGCGGTTTATTTTCGCTTTTCTTTACCGAAGCACATTTTATTCTTCCTGCATTTCTTAATAATCAAACTGTAGAGAGATGATATTATACATATAGTATATCAAGTGGTCTACTTTAAGATTTCTAGTCAGTATGATTCTAGAAAAAAAGAAAGAACTTTTAATAATATTTCTCGCGGTAATACCTTAAAATTTGGTTTACAAATATTTGACGCGACAATATTTATTATTATTATTATTATTACATTATTAATATAAAAAATGGAATAATTATTTGAGAATATAAAAATGATAGATTTATGTATATAAAATTAATAGTTTTTTACAATTAATGAAATAATTAATACAAAAAAATTGTCATGATAAACATTTTCAAAAAAACATTAAAATTATCACTGCACAAAGATACATTTATGCACTTGCTACTTTAATGTTTTAAGAAATATTTTGTTCATAAGCAAATATATATATATATATATATTTATTTATCGTAAATTTATCGTTTCGTTTTCCCGCACGAAAATTCGAAGCGACACGTAAGAATCTCTCTATATTAGCGATTTCTTGCCGTTTTCCTAGAAAAGTCTCGCGTGGGTGCCGGGTGTAAGAGCGCACGATAAGTGCACGCGGGTGTGTAAACATTTCAAATTAGTATTCAGATACGCAGCTGTTGACTGCGCGACGGCCGCTCGCATTCGAGGGCTTCTGAGGCTTCGTTTAATTGTAAAAGGAGAGGCAGATGCCCTCGTCGTCTCTCCTATCCGCGCTTTTGCGTCCGCCTTTCCACGTGCCGCCTTCGCGATTCTCCCATCTCTCGGCTCTTCCACGAGCCTCCGTCGTGTGCTCTTCACTCCGGGGACAACTAACCCCGGCCCACCCTCGTGCACTTTTGACCCCACAGTTGACCGGTCCTCATGTATGGTTTCTTCCGGACTCGGACGTCAGCAGACCCGGACAAAAATACGTGAACGCGTGCGAGGTATTTTAAGAAGAACGTTTACATCGTCACGAGCGAATGCAACGTCGGGACGTTTTGCATCTAGAGCCAGCGTGACGTGTGTTAAGATTTGCAAAAATGTATCTTTGTATTTAATTTTAAATCATTTGAATTTAGATGACTTGGAAAAGTATTTTTTTATTTACCTCTCTACTGTATTTTTAATAATAAAAATTACTTTATACAATTTATTCCATGTGATAATTGTGTATAAAGAATTAATTCCTATTTATTTATTAGCTTCAAGATAAAAAATATATATTGTTGAAATAAGTTTTCAAGTATATAGTGATTACATTTATCTTGGAAAAATTTAAATTATCCTTTGTAGTTTAACATGAATTTCCGATTCGTCAAAAATTCAAGCACGAACACAGAAACGCATAATAATAAGAATAACATTCTGACCATAATTGCTTGCGATTAATAGAGAAGCGATTTCATTTCTCGATGATCGTATGACAGCATGGAATTATAGCGTTGTCGAGGTATAGTGACGAGAACATTATACGAATTGCGGATCACAATCGAACAGACAGGTCGTAATTAGAATATTAAAATGAAATAAAAACAGACGTTTGATCGGTTTTGACCAATAGTTAGCAATCTGGCGATTCATAATCCATGGTTATATCAATCAGAATTTTGTGTGCTACAATAAAAGAGCGGCAGACGAAAATGTTATAATCACCATGTTCCTTTATAAGTTTTTTTTTGTTGTAAATTAGAATTGTTGTATATATAATCTTTTTTAACAATTAATTTGATGGCGTGAAAATAAAATATATGTCGCAATTGAATTATTATAAATTTAATTATTTAGAATTGTGCGAAATTGCTGATAAATAAACACCAATTCCAATAAAAATGATTAAGTATTGAAAATTTTTAAATTTCAATATAGATGTGAATTTCTAATATAATATAAAATTATTTATTGCAATGCGGATGCGTATAGCATTTTGACAATATCCTGTACTAAATCTTTACTGGAGATTTATAAGCTCGGGAGAAATTCATAACAAATTTAATAGTGAGCAATGATACTCAACAGATTCGTGTCTTAACGAACGCAGCAGTATGTGGTGCGAGCGAAATGGAAGGAATGGATAGTGTGCGATCATTAATCTGTCAAGAATGCCGTGTTATGGCATTCTATAAACGATGTAAAATCTGATTAATCGCGGCCATACGGTATATGTGGCGCATCTTAGGTAAACGATCGTTATTAACTTAATAAATTTGCTAAAAGCAATAAACCTAGCGGAATTGAACTTTATTTCGCGTCCTTGATTATAGTTAAATATAGAGTCAAGCCTATATTTATCCGGTTATTCGTCATGAGAGAGAGAGAGAGAGAGCTTACATAGAATGGTAAATTATAATGCTTGAAAAATAACATATGAAGGAAAACAGGAGAGGAGAGTCGGATAGCACAATTTATAATTAGCTCTAAATCTGCATTGAAATAATCTGTGAAAGAAAACAAACGAGGGGGCACGTACGAGTTTTCGTACAATACTGCGATTATATCATTGTTGCGATCTTACAATTAAAGTGAATAAGAAACAATACGTTTCTCGTGTATTGCAGAAACGATACACGTCGAGTATAAATTAAATCTGTCTGAGATTCTATCTTTAAAATATTACGTAAAACACCTATGATGATACATCTTATACGCATATAAAGATAAATAAATTTTGTGCATCGCATGTTAACGCGCTTATATAGATAGTACGAAAATTAATTAAACATATTAATTATTTTTGTTTTATCTCATTGCGCATTACTTAAGATAAAAGCCCCATATCCCGAATGTGTGAGAAGGGATTTCTAAAGTCTTGTATATATTTTCGTTTTGCCGTTTCTCTATGCCTTACATTCACCATCCGATAAGATCACCGGAAGATCATAGATCAAACACGTAAACGCACACCTTGACGCTGTCTTACTACTTATTATACATTCGTGGTACGATAAGACCTTACGATAGTTGCACCGCCAAGGGGTAGATACGCACTGTTATAAATGTCAGTATTATACGGAGCATCTTGGAAAATCTTGCAGGAGAATCGTTGATATTTGTTGCATATATACGCCGCGCGTGTATCAATCCTCGTTTTGTGGTTTAATAGCGATGCACGCGCAACTAACTTATCTATAGTAGTTGTAGATAATTGGACGGGAGTGCAACGAAGCGTGGCTACGCTTTATTAAGTACCGCATTGCTGCTGGACAGCGTTATTAACGATAAGTAATGGTACTTTTAATGCAATTATAGATAAACTAGTAATATAAGTATTAAATCATTTATCAATTTAAGTAATTTAAGTAAAAAAAGCTCTATTAAAAAAACATTAATTACGTTTTCTATATAATAACCGTGAGAAAACCTCGTTAAAATTTGAAACGTTTTTTAAAAAAATTGTATTTATATGCACATTAATTTATATTGTTTCTAACATTTCTTTCACTTTGATTTTACACAAAAATAATCCAGTATTTAAAAAATTTATTTTTTATAAACACGTTAACGTGCAATGCAAAAAATTATTATTGCATGTGCGATTGAATTTTTTATTCGTTTTTTAAATAGATATTTAATAAAGATTATATAATATTTGAGAAAAAAAATTTGTTAGATATATAAATTACTCAAAATATAATAAATAAAAATCTAATTCTTTTCTATATAAATAATTTAAATAATTAATAATAAAAATTTTTCACAAATGTATCATTAATAAATGCTTACTTGACAGTTGCTCTGCTTTCGCCCGATGCCTCCCAGGACCACCTCCTCCTCTCTTATTGTTAGTCATCTTTGATTGATTCTTCATAGCACTCGGATGATACTCACTCGCAAAAACACTCGATTAAATATGCGCGCACTAATTACCCGAATACTACGATTATACGGCGAAATATCCCGAAATTAATAACACGCACTTTATATTACGATGAGTAAAGAGCAATATAAAAATTACGATTCGTTCAGAAATTTATGCGACTAAATATATTATTCAATGCTACTTTTGTTGCGTATACTATATGTTCGCATCTTAAAGACATTACTTCGTGTCACAACGTTAATGAGAATAAATAGTTAAAGAACTAAATAAATGTAGATAAGAATCGGATTAAAGATAAATATCAGATATTCTAAACTGTATATTATTCAAAAGTATAGTTAGTTTTTTCCGACTAATTACATTTGTACGACAGATTTCGTTGAAATAAATCTCGCGTTTTGATATGCATAATTATATTCACGTAAATTGATGATACACAGTCGAATTGATATTGAAATAAACAGAATTAGAATAATGATCATCTAATTAAACGCATGGTAATGCTGCTCAAGTCGTAATCGATCTATATTTTATATTATGCTCGCGCTTCGTTAAAATTACCCCAACTTACATAATCTTGATATCGCGAATTTCGCGTTCGAAGTAATGATCAGTTCAGACATAATACTCGAAAATATACAATCAAAATGTGATAACAGCAAACATAGTATACCTTTCCAACATGAATCTCGCAAAATATATACATATGTATATATGTATGTTTAATATAGTCGATATATTATACCTTATTAAGCTCAAATTGCCAATCGTATCGTTACTCTTATGTATCGCCAAAGTTCATCAATCGTGAGTACTAATTATTGTTAATTAGTAGTAATTGTAAGGAATTATCGCGTATTAAAAGAATAAATACGACGGAGGGTCGCACCACGCGTCCTGCTTGCTCGCGTCTCGCCGTGCGAATGATAATCCAATATGGCGTCGTGGCGCGCATAAACAAAATATATACAGACGCGTACGCGTATGAAAATATTCGGCGCATGTGTTTATTTTTCTACGTGTCGCATAGTAATCTTATGAAACTGAAATATATATGAAAGCGACGAAATTCTAGAAGATGCTCTATTATTCTTCCCAAACAAATACTAATTAATAATTATATTAAAGCAAACATTTCGCGCGATTTGTACGTTTTAAATGAGACTCGAATGAGCAACAGAGAATGGAAATGGTATGTTTTTCACTACAATATAATTATTTCTTTAAATATATCTGATCTTCGAATATATTTTCGCTCGCTTGCAATTTTCTTATCACTTTCAAATTAAGAGCACACAGTAATACACGAAATCGAGTGTTTCGAGGTATCGATACGAGAAGTCGTGACGTGAATGTCAAACTAACATTAACGACTTATTAATATTTTATTCGTAATTCACGAATATAATATTCCATCTAGTGTATGTGTGTGCTTGTGTTTCTTGTGTTAAATGTAACAATAACAATCGTACGGTGCGGTATACTGTTGTTACACGACCTTGTCCTTGTCATTCACCCGGCGACTGTCGAGCGAGAAGGCAGGAGTTGCTGTGCGTTGTATTGTCGTATGAAATACTTTCCGATAATTATTCGAGTTTTTCTTATTATTAACAATTATCAGCATGCGCGATCGATTCAATCTTGCGATATACCACATGGAAGAGACCAAGGTTATTTCACGTTATAAATAAAGTAATATAAATACAAATTAACTAACACAGAGTAGATATAAATGTACAAGTCGATTTTAAAGATAAATATTCACAGATTGCACTATTTGAAAATATAATTAGTTAATTTTACGAACTATAGTGACAGATTAAACAATTCTAGGAAAAATGATTCAAGTATGAATACATTCGATATGTCGACTAATTATTAATATGAATATAATAATATATTATATAACTTTGCGAGATTCATGCATCGCAAAAAAAATATACATATATTATGTTTGCTTGCACAATATTAAATTTCGACAGTATATTTTCTGTCGCGTTATTACGATTAACTCAATTTATATAGTATTGCTTGATGAAGATGTCAACGTTATTTTCGCGTATTTTTCGATCATTAACAAAATATTACAGATAGAATATTAATCGACTTTGGAACGAACGGCATCGTGTTTAAGTTCAGTCGTTATTAATTTATCAGCCACCATAAATTAAAAATTAGAATGTTGGTTTATTTTTTCAAGACTCGTATTTTCCTAGAATTGTTTAATCTGTCACTATAGTTCGTAAAATTAATTATATTTTCAGATAGTGCAATTTGTGGATATTTATCTTTAAAATCGACTTGTACATTTATATCTACTCTGTGTTAGTTAATTTGTATTCATATTACTTTATTTATAACGCGAAATAATAAATGTAAAATGTGAACATATACCAATGTAGTGGTATATATAAAATTAGCCATACGATTTTCGATTGCCGAGGGCAAATCATAGTTCTATTATTTTCTCGTCGCAATATATACATATAAAGTGTTAAAGTCATGTAAAGTGTTACGCGATCGTCGTATTTTGTTGATCGTAATTAATGGTGTTTTCGCGAGTGAATATTGTGTATGTAAATTAAAAAGCAACTAAAAAAATGACCAAAAGAGAGGAGGCCTGAGAAAAGGCATCGAGCGCTGATGGAGCAACCTAAAAGTAAATATTCATTAATTATTTGTCACTTGTAAAATTAACAAGTTTATCTCTAGACAGTAATCCATTTTTTAAATTATCACAATATAATGCACATAAAATATTCTAAATTTTGCATTCCAATATGTGTATTAAATAACATTTTCACATAGTTGCATATATGAAATATTTCTACATTGCATTTAAGATTATTAATTATATAAATTGTTTATATAAAATTAGATTTTTATTTATATTATATCTTTTAAAAGTATATGTCTAAAAAAACTTTTCTTCGCAATTTACTTCATTAAATATCTATTTAAAAGATAATAAAAAATGTTATTCCTAATAATTAATTTTCTACATATAATTATTTTAAACGCTCTCTGCTTATATAATATATTAATATGGGTTGGATGCACTTGTATTTTTTCAGATCGATTGTTTACGACAACTCCACTGTTGTGCATCGTAGTGGTGAGTGGTCAATTATTTTTTGTTATGTCAAAATAATAGAACAAATATATTCAGCATTTTGATGGCAAAGGAAAATTAATTTGCCGAAGAATACGACTCAAAAACACTCGCTAGGATTATAATCAAAGCAACTCTTATAGTTTACATGCGTCTAAAAAATTCTGGCAATCAATATATTTCATGTCAAAAAATAACAAGTATTAACAATAGTATAATAAATAATATAAGCTTATCTGGAATGTGTGTGTGTGTAAATAGATAAAATATTGTTCAATTTTCAAAAAGTTAAAGGAATATACATTCACGTCTTTGAGAATTCTCAGTGTATCTATTTTTCGAGAGTTTTTACTTCCCTTAATTATTTAACAATTGACATCGAGCAGTGGCGATTTAGCCTGCAATGGAACACGTTGCGGCAGGAAAGGAGGCGATTTAAGTCCGATCGTGGTTAAAGCGGAAAAGAAGCCACGGGTGGCGCAGTCCGATAACATCGAAACCGATCCTCTCTCATCCACCTCTTGAGTTAGGTAGTTCTCACTGTACCTAACGCATGCAGATCCCCGCGGCCAGAACAACTCTATGGCGCTAAAACCGAGGCATTGTTATTCCAGGTGCCATTACGGCAACCTGCTCATACGCACACACTCTCCATTCGTTGCAAAAGGTGAAAGCCACGCGGAAGTTGCCAGCCTGCGAATGGTAATGCAAATGAATGTGCGCTTCGGACGCTCTTGCGTTTTATCATAAGTCGGTCCGATAATCGCGTTGTACGACTCGAATCGTGAATCGAGATAAACATCGCGCGAGTTTGACGATTTTCAGGAGAGTAGACTCTTTGTAATAATTAAAGCTTCTCGAATTTTTACATATTCGAGAAATAACACATCGCGGAATATTTTTTGGATATACAGTACCCTCCATAAGTTTGGAAACACCTTATATATTTTATAATTAAAGAATTGCATGACAGCGATCTGTTATAAATAAAAATATCATTTAAATATTTTACGTTTGTTTTATGTTTTATTTATACAAAAAATCTGCACAGATCTGTCAAGAGGATCATCTTAATTTAAGAGAAAAATTCTCTAAAGACATATTCTTTAATTAGATATTCGAAACATGCAAGAATATAAACTTAATGGAATGTTTTTTATCAGTATAGTATTTGAAAAATTATTAATCGTGATAACAAAAAACAATCTTATAAATGGAAATTTGTTATTTATTGCATACAGTACCCTTCACAAATTTGGGAACACTTTATATCTTACTGTTAAACAATCTGTCATAAATAAAAATGTCATTTAAATATTTTACGATTTATTGATACAAAAAATCTACACAGATCGTTGTCATACGATTGTTTAACTGTAAAATGTAAGATGTTTCCAAACTTATGGAGGGTACTTATACGTTAAATTCATCGTATAAGACGCGATGAATTTATTTGTAAATGTTTCCTAGTCTACATCGTACGTGGACATTGGTTCGTGTTTCGATTAATCGTTTCGATCATAATGCCGACGTGAACCTATCGTGAAAATAGCGTTTCGGTTCCGGATACAGGCGGACACACGATATTTCTCTTCCCGTCCTCATAAAACCGATATTCTGATGGGAACGTCGAGGTAGGACGTGACAGGAAAGGGGTCCACCGCAGCTATCATAATACCGAGATACTCGGAACATGGATCTCGTGTTTATAGTGTGTCATCTACGGTATCCTCAAGTTGATCGGTCAGCTCTGGTTACTCAGAGCGGGCTCAACACAATACAGCCGTCCGTATTTTACGCGAATATGCAACGGAGAATATAAAAATATTATCACTGATCCCTG